GCAGTCCAGATCTCTAATCTTATGCTAGTACAACAACAACAACAGAATAATCAGCATATGCAAGTCATACCCAGGAGACAATTCACAAAAATCAATATGTCGTTGTCTTAAGCATTACAAAACATGTTGAAGGCATAGCTAATTACATTGAAGGATCCTCCTCAGAATCCCAATACTTCTTCTCCTAGTTACAATCCCAATGCAAGGTGTGCATATCACTCCAACAGTCGTGGACAAGACACTAATGGTTGTTGGGCTCTGAAAAATAAGATTCAAGATATGATTGACTCTAATGAGATTGAATTTGGTCCTCTTGAGACTCCTAATATGATCACTGTACCTATGCCTAATCATGACAAAAGCGTTAATGCTATTGGTGATGTTTCATATGCTTATGTTCTGAGTGACTTGACTACTCCTCTGATGATTGTTAAGAAGAAGCTGCTACAAGCCGATTTATTTTTGGGTTGCATTGAAAACTAGTACTATTGTGCATCTTAATCCAATGGTTGTGTACTGCTGAAAGAAGGTATTCAGTGTTTGATGGATGATCGTATAATTCTATTTGAGAAGACTCCTTCTGAGGAGAGCCTGTGTAAAAGTATGGCTCAAGGCCTGAAGTTGGAAGACATTTTTGTGATTACAATTTCCAATACTCTTATAAGGATCACTTCTAAGGAACCTGTGAAGATTACTGCTGAGCCTAGGGTTGCTCCTCTGATTATTACCGCACCTGGGCCAAATCCATATTCCTATGACATGGCTATCCCTTGGAATTATAGAGCTGATGTCTACTACCATGGTGTCAAGAAAGAACCATTGGCTGTCAAAAATGAAAATACTAAAGTTACTAATCCCAATGTTGGCAATATTGTTGGGACTAGTAAGGTTACCAGAAGTGGAAGAGTTTTCTCTCCAGAGATCTCTCCAAAGGATGTTACTACACAAGTTCATATCACTGCTACTTACTCAACTACTGAGACTCAAGGCAAAGAATAGATGACTGAGCCTGCTCAGACTGAGGCACTGAAAGAGGTTACTGTTGAAGATACCTCCAAGCAAGAGATGGAGGAGGTGCTGAAAATTATTCGAAAGAGTGATTATAAGTTTGTTGAACAGTTGGGGTAGACCCCCTCTAAAATATATATGCTATCTCTGTTGTTGTGATCTGAAGCCTATGCTCAGACTTTGGTAAAGTTTCTGAAATTTGCTCATGTACCACATGAAATCTTTGTTGATCAGTTTGAAAATCGTGTTGCTAGCCTGACAACTGATAATGGGATAGGCTTTTCTGACATTGATTTAACTTCCACATGAAGGAACCATTATAAGGACCTGGATGTCTCTATTGAGTGTAGGGGCACTGAAACAACCAGATGAATAATTAAATGATAATGAAATCAATGAAGTCACCATCGAACGTTTTTACCCCACAAGAAGGGAAAGGTAAACATCGAGTAAACCTGAGAAGGGTGAAATCACGATCAAACGACCGAGGGATACGGGTAAGGGAGTCTGTTACGCAAGGGGAAGGTATTAGCACCCCACACACCCGTAGTACTCTAAAATATCCACCCTTGTTGTCTATCTTATGGGTGTGTTAGACTCTAAATATAAGATGTACAGGGAATGCATGCAAAATAAAGGAGAAAATAATGTAGGGAAAGTAAAAGTTGTGCTCGTTCGGGCCTTACCCCAATGCCTACGTATCCCTTTTAAGGAATCAGAGCAGCCGTAGTTCAGCTTCAAAAGTTTTTTTGGTTTGGATTTTTTAATGAGGAATATTAATTTCGCCTTCTATCGCACCTCGACCTTTGGAGACTCACGCGTCAGCACAGAAGTGAATTAACATGTAATTTCTGAAAAGAGTTTGAAAGCAAAGCCCAAAGGCACAAAAGAGTTTGCATTGGTTGATATTTTTTACCTTAAAGAAACATTTGGAAGTTGTTAGATGTTTTTATGCTTTTTCAAGAAAAAGGAAGTTTTAGTTTTAATGCATGGATGCAAAAGAAAGAAAAGTCATCTAAGGGAGACTAACCTAGATCTATCCCTAATGTTATCATACAATGGTTAATCATAAGGTTGAGTTTGAAGGGAAATCTCTACAATAAGTTGACATGGTTGGATAACAATCCTAATGTCTATCTTAACTCATATCTATAGATGAATCAAGAAGTTCTAAAGGAGCATAGCAAGGGTCTATCACCTAAAACTATGTCTATCTCGAATCATCATCTATAGTTGAATCAAGAGCTCCTAAGGGAACATGCTGAGGTTATATCATCTCAAAAAATGCACATAAAAATGAAATCAAACAAGCAAGCCAATAAGCTCAAGAGAGCTAGCTTAAAAGAGCACAACTAGAGAGATCCTGCCTAGGCTAGCATACTAAAGGAAGTCTAACAAAAACTATCCTATGGGGAACATGCAATGAGAGGAATGTCGTGATCTCAATTTCTAAATTGAGCGACTCATCGATCAACAAGAAATAAAGGAAAGCAATGAAATCCTATAGGGAGCATGCATTGAGAGCGAAGTCGTGATCTCAATTTCTAAATTGAGTGACTCATCGATCAACAACCAATGAAACAAACACGAGCACAACACATATAAAAAATGAAGTGCGGAATTCCTGCTACAGGTCTTTAAACAGCGACTTCGAGCGCACGCTCTTTATTTCCTACTTCTCATGATATCTAGAAAGCAATAAAGTGCGAAATGAGATAAACAAGAGAAAATACCAAACAGATATCAATCAGTAGCGAAGCGTATCAAAACAAAGAAACCCGACAATCTTTGCGAAAGCTTCACCAATCAAAGAAAAGAGTTAGAAATCAAATGCTCAGAATAAGTATTGACGCATCATCAATGTGAAAATAAATCACAATCGAAATCTCAAGCGCATCCGCATATCGCACCATAAACCTGCATAAGATTCCAGTTCTCAACAAGCAAAGGGAAATTACCAATCTTAAATATAATCGGATAGTCGGAATTTAATTTCCTAAAACTAAAATAAAAAAAATCTACAAGTTTTTATTGATTTTATCATGTAAAGAAAAAAGTTCAACAAAACTAAACAACTATCAAAAGGAAAATATTAAAAGAAAGAACTCAAGGGTGCAAGCCAAAATCCAGGGGGTGTAGAAGCAATATGGGTGCTAGGCCCAGCCAAGCAAAGTCCATGAGTCTGTTTTTGTTGCAAGCTTTCAAGTGTCCAAAAAAACAATCGTTGGTAGACTTTAGGGGGATGCCATCCGAAATCTTGGAGCATGATCTTAATAGACAGCCTGGATGTTAAGCCCACTGAACCAGGCCCATGATGCCTTTTCTGCATCACAAGGCATTCCAAAAACGAAATAATAAAACTACACAGGCCCACCGAGTTTAGAATCCAGCCTGGTCCGATTACCCTTGTTCATACCTAGTTCCAATTAAAGAGGAACAATGTTTGTAACTCTTCAGACCTCACGGCCAACACGAAGCCCCTTTCTCAACCAAATCGTGACGGCACAAAAAACTTCTTATTATCTCGCAGCACCGCCTTCAGTATAACCTTTATCGTCCTTAACAACACTGAAAATATATTTCGTTCAAAATCCATTCGTTTATCGTCAATCTACCGTTGCTCTTCATCAGCGACTCAACTGTCGTCTTTCTCTTCTCATTGGCTCCGACTTCTTACATTTTGCACTTTGGTTTACTTCCTCTATCTGAAGAACGAATGGAAACAATAAAGAGGGGATAGAGATTTAGGCTTACCTCCCAAAATATTTTCGGTGGTTCTTCAAAGCATAGAATCAACGAGAACTGTTCAGAATATCAAGTACTAGCATTTTCCCCTTATTTTGAATTCGCATTTTATATGCACTTCATCCTATTTAAATTCCTTCTACGATTTCTACCATATTTTTGTATGAAATTACCTCTCTATACGATTTGGAAATCGTTGAGAATGATGATGAGGTTGTTGTTGTTTGCAGATGACGCTTGAGGTGTGATGAAGCAATGAAGATTGAAGCAGAGAGAACACAAAGATTGCAGCGATAAGATTGAGAGTTTCTTTTTGACCTTTTTGGCGAAGATTGGAAATTGAAGGTGTGGTGATGTTACAGATTTATGATGATGATGCTTGTAGCGATGCAGTGGTGAAGATTGAAGGTTATACTGAAGAAGAAGAGATAGATTTCTTGATTTTTCGGTGGATGAAGATGCAGAGTGAAGAATCTGCGATTCCTCTATGAAGATTGAAGGAAGATAGAATTGAAAAGAGAATTGATAAGTGAGTCCTTATTTTTTTTTGTGAATTTATGCTATATATCGTTTCCTTCCCCTCCCCTTTCTGTTTTCTTCCTTTTCTGTTTGGTTGCAGTTAGTATGGTCAGAAGTTGGTTAGAGGTTTAGTTACCGAGTGGTTAGGGGCTAGTTATAAAATTTTGTTTTGACAGTTAGAGTTTGTTAGAGTTGACAGTAAAAAAATGGAACTTTCCTTATTTTTTTATCTGCATATATTCTTGAATTTATATAGGCTGCTAGAAATTTGTTGGAACCTATTAGGAAATTGTTAAGAGTTAGAAAGTTGGTTACAAGTTGTTAGAAAGCAGTTAGGAGTGTTTAGACTCTTAGTAGTTAGTTATGGACTGCAAATTCATTGGTTCTTCTATGAAGAGATTCTGTTAAAGTAGTTTCAGTTAGGAAGTCAAAAATATGTTAGAAAAATAGCTAGTTACTTTCCTGTTTAGAAGTTAGCTGAAATTGAAGGCTGTAGGTTTGTTTGTTTTAAAAACGGTTATTTTGTAAAAAAAACTGACATCAAGTTAATTTGAAAACGGTTATGGCAAAGTTAGTTGAACGGTTGTGAATCTGTTTGGACTAGGTTAGAGGAAATTTTATTTGAAATTTCGTTAAGTGTTAATTGAAGTTCATTTCCAAGGTTAAGATTAAAACAGTTAGAAGTTAGTAAAAACGGTTAGAAAATTAGTTTAGGTCAGTTAATAAGGTTAGTATGTGGAATTTGCTAAAACTGATATTGTTTCTATGATATGCAGGGCTGCAACTATGAAGGCTTCGTTAATCAATTTGTGAAATCTCCTACCCTGCTTTGGAGATAGCTCTGGGAATAACAATGACTCGGGTTCCTGAGCAGCATCAGCATATCCAGTGATTTTTGCAATGACCTGAAGCCCAAGCTTTAATGCCTTCTCTACACTAACCAAAACTAATGTTGCAGCACCATCACTTATGCTAGAAGTATTGCCAGCAGTAACAGAACCTCCAGTTTCCTTGAAGTTTGGTCTAAGTTTGCGTAACCTTGCACAGGGCTGCAACATGATGAACTCTTGGCGTAGGCACGGCATATTTTCACAAAGATGGTTGGAGCTTTAAACTTGACATGAAATGGAATGGGTTTAAATTTAGGAATGTAATTTTGGTGTAAATTTTGTCTTATGCTGTAATGATATATTGGCGATGGAAGTAGTAAATCACTTTGTAAATCACTTTCAAGTAATGGAACAATTCCTCCTCATTTTGTGCAGATTGGAAATTAGATTTCAAATCTCTTTCACTAATCTTGCTTTAAAGTTCTTGAAAAGAGAATTCAATTGGAACTTGAATGCTTTTGAATAAATCTCAAGATTTGTATGAAAACCCTGGTCTCGTATGTAATTTTTGAAGCGAATTAAGTGGTTCCACAGAAGTTCCATACTCTTCCTTGAATTGCATCTTGAATAGGCCTTTGAAAAGTCTTGTTATTTTTCATAATGTATTATTTATACTTGCCATGCCACTATTCATTTTCCATATTTGGATCCATAACCATGATGAGGTGAATCCATCTAAACGACATGACATGCACAATCTTTGATAAAACTCTAATTAACACTTCAATCCGGAATTCATCACAAATTGCACCCTAATCCAAAGTTGATTGCGGAACATACACCAAATCAAGATTAGAGGTGAATCCATATTATTTCTTGTTATGTGTTAGTTCTTAACAAAACTTCATCTCAATTGATGAAAACCAGATAAGAGTAGATGTCCCGATTCAGAAACCAGGTATGCCAGTTCACAATTTTGAGTTTTTAGAAGGAACCCCCAAAATCATGACTTTGTGAAACAAGTACCTAGAATAGGACCTTAGACGAGATTCAAGATAGCTATAAGATCTAACTATAATCCCCTAATCCTCTGTTGGAGCACAATATGTGAAAACCCTTACCATTTGGATAACGTAGAGAAATAAACCACAATTCATGAATTTGGTGGATCCTGATGAAGAATAACCTTTGAAAAAGAGATTCCTGACAACCACACTTTCAAAAGCCTAATTACACCGCTCAACATTTTGAAGAAGAAATCAATCTTTATTGGATACGCACGCCTTAACCAGTGTAAAACCCTAATATTGCACGACCACTGAAGTTTGAACCTCAAGCGCTTTATTGAATGCAAATGCATGCTATGTTAGTACAGATGACCTAATGAAAAGATGTGAATGCAAAAGCCTAAGCCTAAGCCAGATAAAAAGAAATTAGGAGGGAAAATTTTGGGGTGCAACAACTTCCCCTATTTAATCGTCTTCAACCTTAAGATTAAATACTTAAAAGAACCTGAAAATTTGCACTCCGAAGCCAGTCAGGTATTATTATATTTTTTGTATTTTCTATTTTTTTGGATTACAATGGTTATCTAAGTAAATCTCTTAGATGTCAGGTCAAGGTTAGACATACACGAGAAAGAGACCGACCGAAGAAGGCTCTGATGAAGGAACGCAAATCGAAGGCGAACTTACAAAGAAAAGAGACCAAATGAATGGGACTCTTAAGAAATGATACCAGCCGGAGGTGGATTTAAAGGGGGAAGATTGCCGATAAAGGGAAAACTTACAAAGAAAAGAGACCGGCTGAAGGGGACTTTCAAGAAAAGGTACCAGCCGAAGGTTGATTTTAAGAGTGTCAGTCGAAGGTGGATTTTAAGAGTGTCAACTGAAGGCAGACTTCAAGATAAAGAAACCAGCCGAAGGGGAATCTTCATCAAGGAATACTATATCGAAGGTATATTCCTTAGAAAAGAACGCCGATCAAATGCGAACTTGCAAATGAAAAGAGACCAGCCGAAGGGGACTCTCAACAAAAGGTACCAGCTGAAGGTGGATTTCAAGGGTGCCAGCTGAAGGTGGACTTCAAGATAAAGAAACCAGCCGAAGGGGAATCTTCAACAAGGAATACTATGCTGAAGCTAAATTCCTAAGGAAAGAACACTGATCAAAGGCGAACTTATAAATGAAAAGAGACCAGCCGAAGGGGACTCCTAACAAAAGGTACTGGCCGAAGGTGGATTTTAAGGGTGCCAGCCAAAGGTGGACTTTAAGATAAAGAAACCAGCCGAAGGGGAATCTTTAACAAGGAATACTATGCCGAAGGTAGATTCCTAAGAAAAGAACGTCAATCAAAGGCGAACTTTCAACTGAAAAGAGACCAGTCGAAGGGGAATCTTAATAAAAGGTACCAGCCGAAGGTGGATTTTAAGGGGAAAGAAACTAGCCGAAGGGGAATATTTAACAAGGAATACTATGCCGAAGGTAGATTCCTAAGGAAAGAACGCCGATCAAGGGCGAACTTACAATGAAAAGAGACCAGCCAAAGGGGATTCTTAACAAATGATATCAGCCGAAGGTGGATTTCAAGGGTAAAGAAACCAGTCGAAGGGGAATCTTTAACAAGGAATACTATGCCGAAGGTAGATTCCTAAGGAAAGAACGCCAATCAAAGGCGAACTTACAAACGAAAAGAGACCAGCCAAAGGGGACTCTCAACAAAAGGTACCAGCCGAAGGTGGATTTTAAGGGTAAAGAAACCAGCTGGAGGGGAATCTTTAACAAAAGGTACCAGCCAAAGGTGGATTTAAGAAAAGAACGCCAATCAAAGGCGAACTCACAGGGGATAAAGATATGCATATCTGGTCAGAGTTAGACACACAAGATTGAAATCGAGCATCAAGAAACAAATGTTCAGAGTTCATAGCAAACACAAGAACGAGACTAACCGAAGGAAGCCCCAACAAGAAAGGACGCATTCGCCTAAATAAGGACGCCAAACAACTAAACTTTGACGAGACACTGAAGGATTCTTAATAGAGAAGGTTAGATAAGCTAACAAAAGGAGAACTCGACTAACGCGGATAAAAATAGACCAAGGAACCGACTAAGTAGGACCTTTAGAGAGCACCGATCAAAGGTTAACTCTACAAGAGAAAGAGACCGGTCAAAGCAGACTCTAACAAGGATTGCCAAAACACGTTGGGATTTTGATAGGTTGCAAATATGCAAGAACTACAAAATTCATCAGGCCAAAGGTAGGGTGTAATTCTTCAAGAGTGGCAATTATCTGAATTACCACATAGTATGGATACTAAAATACTTGAGAAGCAAGAAAGACTATACACCGACTCTTACTCGCACTCTAACGACAAAGCAAACATGGGTAAAATAACCAAAGGCTTGCAAGGGAAAGCGCAAACCAAAAACTTATTGGGGATTCCCATATGTATTAAACTCGAACAGAATGTCGGTCGAAGGAGGACTTGTGATTAGAAAAGAAAAAAAAGAGACCAACTGTAGGGACTCTAAACAAGGATTTCCAACACGCGTTGGGCTTTAAAAGTTTCCAAATACGTAAGAACTAGCAAATCCCTCAGGCCAAAGGCGGGGTGTAATTCTTCAAGAGTGGCAATCATTTGAATAATCACACACCAAGTATGGATACTCAAATACTTGAGAAAAGAGAAAAGCTATACACCACCTCTCACTCGCACTCTAACGACAAAGAAAACACAGGTAAAATAACCAAGGGCTTGCAAGGGCAAGAGAAAACCACGACTTATTGGGAAAATGGAGAAATACCAAAGACTTGACTGGTGGTGAATCAAAACAAACTCCGTTGGGGAAACAGAAATAGAATCACCCTAGGCCTGTTGTGGAGTTAATTCAAATCTGAGTGCATAACAATCTGGTTACCATAGGTGAACATAATTGGATTATACTCATGCATGTTTGAATTTATTTTTATAGCGTAATGCCCCATACAATGGAAATGCTACGCGTTTTGGTATATGCAATGTAATGATGCATGTTTAGTAATGAACTGGGGAGATCACATTAATAATCGGATGCTGGGAAGACAATGAACTTCCGAACGATTATGCTTGCACATCTAATCTTCTATAGAGAAAAGGCAATCTAAACTTCAATGGAGCACCGAGAACCCGAACCACCAACCTCTTGATATCGATATCACTGGGGAAGTAACTTTCTGAAGAGAAATATTGCAAAAATAAATTGTAGTTCAAAGAAAATCTTGAATCATGATCAAACTTCCAACTTCATGGGGAACAAATTCTTTATCCTCTATTAAAAAGAGGAGAGCTTCGCTGGGAATGAAAACTTCTGGCATAAAATTTCTTGACGAAGATAAATTCTATTGGGGAGTATAGAATTCTTAAATAAAAAGAATTCTACTCAGACCACACTGGGGATGACAACGCCAGGGGCTAAAAAAATCTTCATTTAGGGAAGAAACAAACATCTCAGGACAGAAACTCCACTAGGGATATCTCAACAAAATCTTCTATCACCAGGGATGAAAGAGTTCTGACCGACATTCCCATATAAACCACACTAGGGAGATAGGACACTTGCTCCACTAGGGAAAAAAGGCTAGCTCCACTGGTGAATAATGGGTACCTTACTCCAGAAGGTTCTCGAAATTCGACTTCGACTGGGGATAAAGACTACCTTTTACACTGGGGGGCCAAAAGCCTTTAGATGATAACATCAATAATACCCATTGCACTGGGCGTAGCCATCTCTTCTAGGTTCAAGCCGGCAAGAAGTTCTGTACCAGGGAGCAAAAATCATTTCATTACAGATGATGGTCGTCCTCATGAGAATAACAAACTAGAATCTCCCATAGGAAAACATGAGTCTCTTCAAGAACTCTGATATAGGAAAACCACATTGGAGAGAGAGAGAGTGCACACCTCACCGAGTAGGAGAATACATACTGTAATACGGTGGGAGAACTGACTTTAGGGTTTTGTGTTTGATCGCAAATGTTGCGATTAGCAAGAGTCTCCACCGACTTTTCTTTTATCCAAAAGGAAAGGTGAAAAAGCACAGGGAAGACCTTTGAGATTTATTTCTTGAGTTTGGGGGTAGATTATGAAAAGGGAAGGTATTAGCACCCTTTTCATCCATGGTTTTCCATGGGCTCTTAGTTACTTGCTAGATCACTTGCTTTTTGTTTGAAATTGTGCTTGGTGTGGTTTTTGAAAGTATTTTGTAAAGAGGCCATTG